TATATATTATATATATATATATATATATATATATATATATATATATATATATATATATAATATATATATATATATATATATATATATATATATAGTATAATATATATATATATATATATATATATATATATATATATATATATATATATATATATATATATATATATATATATATATATATATATATATATATATATATATATATATTATATATATATATATATATATATATATAGGGTTTCCACCCTTAATAAAAATAATATTTTTTCTTATTTTTGATACATTAAATATTTTATTTTTACATACATAAAAATAACACAAAAAATATTTTTGGCATATTTATAATATATTTGCATATTTATTTAATTGTCCATTTAAATATTTGCTTATTTATTATTTGAACAAAGAATTCAATTTGGTTGTAATAATCTTAGGGTTTTAATTTCTTGCAAAATAATCCCCTATTCAAAATTGTATCCCCCTCCCCATATTCAATGTTGTAATAGCTTAGATTACTTTTACGCATTTATTGCTTTCAAATATGCCATGATAGAGATTAGGGTTTGTATGCAATATCCAAAATCAAACAAATAGCTAGACCTAATACAAGACCATAAAAGCATGTAAATTGACAACACAATGCACACATGCACCCCTAGGGTTTCATCCACCTGTTGCCTTTAAAATGGCCATGGTATGCATGTTGAGTATCTTGGCAGAACAAAAACAAAACAAAAAGATCATAGTCCCTCGATGACGCTATTTTGGTTGCCTATACAAAATGATCTAGTCCCTCAAAAATTTGCTAAGATACTTGGCACAATTGCTATCATGGTCATACGATAACTCGCGCCTGTCCCGTTTAACATCCTAACACAAGGTTGTTTATCAAATACAATGGTAAAACAACAATGTGAAAGGGTTAAAAATATGTAGGAAAGATCTTTGAGTAGATAGGGTAGATGCTCCTAGTTACTTGATCAAAACTTGCAAACATCCTTGCTAATTTCAAAAACACTCAACACATTTCAAAATAATTTCCCAAAAAAAAACTTTCAAAACATTGAAACATTTTTCAAAAGACAAACACCTTTGTAAAACATTCAAACAAGAATTGTTACAAAGGTTGCCTAAGACAAGGCCTCTTTTCAAAACATTTTCAAAACCACACACAAAGCACCATTTCAAACAATTGAAAAGCAAAAGCAAGTGATCTAAACAAGTAACTAAGAGCCCATGGATAACCATGGATGAAAAGGGTGCTTGCACCTCCCCTTTTCATAATCTACCCCCCGAACCCAAGAAAACATTTCAAAGGTCTTTCCTGTGCTTTTTGACCTTTCCTTTGGATAAAATAAAAAGTCGATGGCGACTCTTGCTAAACCGAAACATTTACGAACACAAACACAAAACCTCAAGTCAGTTCTCCCACCGTATCACAATAGGGTTATTTTATTACTTGTTAGAAGGAATAGAAAGAAAGAAGCAGTAGAAAGAATAAGGATTTAGAAGAGAACGTGAAGCTGCTGGAAATAGAAGAAAACGACAAGAACGAGAATTCACCCGATAATTATAGAGCGACCTTCAATCCAAGGTAAGGGTGGGGTTTTGACTTTATAATTGAGTTCATGATGTTTGATATGTGGGGTTAGAGGTGATTGTTGTTTTATTCTTGAATTGGATGTATATGATGATGTATGGTGAAGATTTGATGAACTTTAGATGAATAATGATGTCATGATGATGTTTAATAGATATAATATTATAGGTTAATGTTAGGTGATGAATTACCATGTTTATAATGAGGTTTGTAGGGCTGTAATATGATTCCCGTAGTAAAAATACAGAGGAAAATCGCAGAATTATGCAGGAGGGACCAGGATGTGTCGACCTCAAGCTTGATGCGTCGATACATGGGCGATGTTAGACTAAGGATGAGTCGATACAAAAAGGGCTTGTGTCGATACATGATAGTTGCAAGACTCAGGATGAGTCGATCGATGAGATGCATGTGTCGATACATGCTACGTTTGAGACCAGGATGAGTCGATCCATAAGGAGGATGTGTCGACTCATGTTATGCAGATGAAGCAGTATGCATCGATCCAAAGGGTTATGCGTCGACCCATAATGTCAGATTTTTGACAGATTCAGTTTAAAAGTGTTGTAACTTGAGTTTTAGGATGCTGTTTGAGATGTCGTTCGAAGCGTTGAATAGCTAACGCGATGAACTTTATTCTAGATGATTAAAATGATGAATAAGAAGTGTAATCCTAGTAGCCAATTTAGGATTTAAAAGTAATTCCCGTGTTGATCGTTGTGCTGGTTTTTGAACAGAATGATGAATATGAGATGTCTAGAGGCTGTTGTATGAATTATGACATTAGGATTAGTGACAGTAACGATGTAAAATTGCAGAATAACAGTAGGGATTATTGTAGTATTAATATACAACTGAGTTGTTAGTGAGAAGTTACTCATGATGTTCTGTTTGATGACTTATATAGATGAATGGTGTGTAATGAATTATTTTGATGATTTGAGATGTTGTTATTTTGAGATGTTAATTGAGATGTTTTGAGATGATTGAGATGTTGTTATTTTGAGATGTTAATTGAGATGTTTTGAGATGATTTGAGATGTTGTTAACTTGGGTGTAGTTATTACATTCATGGTTGTGTCGCATACATTGCATTTTTGAGATGGAGCTTATGCTCGTTGAGATGGCCTGTGTTGGTGAATTTTGAGATGAAGGCTATGCCTTATTGATGCCTTTATTAATTGGCAAATTTTTGAGATGGGAGTTCTGCTCCAATGGTACCACATGCATTTTCATAGTCTTGAGTCGCGTTATATGATTTCATAAAGAAGTGTATTTTGATGTTGATGAATGTATATTATTGTGAGATTGTTGTTGATTATGAGATGAGAAGTGGTGATGTTATTGATCTAATTTAATATATTAATTATCACGCGCTTTATTATATTGTTAGATATCTCACCCCTTCTGTTTGAATGTTGCTCTTATGTTGGTAACGTGCAGGTAATCGAGAGTGAAGGCTGTGTACTTTCAGTAGTTCGAGTCAGTGTCATTGCTCTGATATATAACACTCGGGGGGATGAACGTTTGCTGATTTTTGATTGCTGATTTTCAGTTGTTGAATTTTAAACTGATTATTATTAAATGTGTGATGTTTCGAAGTTGCTGTTTTGTTGTTTAAAGAAGTTATTGAGAATTTCGCTGCGTATATGTTGAATTATTTTATTTAAAGATGTTATGATGGTTCATCCGATGTCTTGAAAGTGTTATATATCCACGACGAATGCAATGAATTTTGTTAGAAGAATTTGTGACGTCCCGATTCATTTGTATGATTGAAATCTTATAACTCTGGTTTATTTTGCATAATTGCTTGGGGTAGAATTGAGGTGTTACATGAGGCAGGTCAATGCAAGCGTAAAAGAGGTCATCGCCTAGTGAATCGAAGCATTTCTGAGGCAACCCTTTGTCTTGTGAATCGAAGACTAGTAAAAGGGGCCTTTTGCCTTGTAGATCGAAAGCAAGTTGATGGGTCTTTGCCTTGTGAAACTAAGGCAAGCATGAGGAAGTTTTTTGCCTAGTGAATCAGAATACACATGCAGGAGGCCGCTACTTGTGGATCGAAGGGAACTTGTAGGGGATTCTCGCCTAAGTGAAACTTGGACCAATGTTTGCTCGAAAAGGAAACCAACACGCAATCGAAGCTGATGGGCCAATGCTTGGTCGAAGGGTTTTAGACGCCCAATTGAAGGCCATTGTTGGCATGCCAATCGAAAGACACTTAATCTGTAGGCCGACAGTGGCTTCTTGAGAGGAGAGAAAAAAATTTGGTTCAAAAATCCATCTCTATTTTTGTTCCATTATCATTTCGTTGGACGGAGGGCGGCGGTTACAAAACCACACCCTATCATCTAATTTGTTTCCGTTTCTCACCATTCTAAAACTGCCGTTTTTTCTCTTCTCACCAAACAATTAATCTTTTAGGATTTGAAGCTCCCATTCATCAAACAACACTTTGATGCCCTTTTCTCTTTCTAAATTCTACGAGATTCCTCCCGAGAAACTCACCTCAGAAGCCCCTATTCCTATTTTAAGGTACTATAATTTCTCAATTTTCAATTTTCTTTCATGCATGATACAAAAAATACAATTCTTGAATCCAAATGTTTACAATCTGTAATTCTTGATTTGTAGAAAAGGAATTATAGCGCCTTATAGATGAGTTTGGCGGACACAGATTGCTCGGAGGAAGGTTCGATGATTCTTGAGCCTCCAGATCCTGATATCATTAAAATTGATACTAGTCGTTACCATAGGGTATTGTAATGTTGTGTTTGCGTGCATTTTATTTCATTCCTTAATTTGATGTTGATGTTAGTTTTTGCATTCATCAGAGTATAAGGAAGTAATTGGCAAAGGAGCTTTCAAGACTGTGTATCTTTGTTTTTGGTTTTGGTTTTATGGATGCATTGTTAACTAGTTGAAATTCGTCAAAATTTAAATAAGTGATAATGCAAGCAGTGTGGTTATATTATATCTATTTTCCTTAATTTATGGATAATTAATTAGCTATAAGGCATTTGAAGAAATCACGGGTCTTGAAGTTGCGTGGAGCCAAATTCAGATTGACGAGGTATTACAATCACCGGGCGACGGAAGTGCATCGATCGATTTGGTTTTTTTTTCACTCTTCAAGATTAATATATGGGCTTCTAACTTCCTTCGTCGCCAGCAATAGAAAGGTATGATTATGTGAGAAATAGAATAATTGGGAAAGGTTTTCATTTTGTTGGTGTTGATAATGAAAAGGGGATAATTTGTGGTTAGGGTTTTTATATTAGAATTGAGTTTCATGATTTTGATTTATGATAGATAATTTTCTGGGTACTGTGATAGATTATTTTGCAGCAAGTATGTTTGAGATTTGAAGCCGAAAAATACTGGAAACCGAGTCCATCCCATGCCTTATACAGATTCATCTATTCCACGTGAGTATTGTATAATTTTATTTAGATTGTATTTTGGTATGTTTTGTATCATCTTTATATATTGGCTCATCCTTGTGCAACTTTTTTCATAGTGCAACCAAGACCTATGGTTCCCAACAAAGATACTGTTGTATATGTATATGGAAGTTTGGCTTGGAAAGATCAAATGGTGGAATGGAAGAAGTGGCAGAGTGACAAACTCCAAGTGGTGAAGCATGAAGAGGATGGAAAAGATGGAAGTTTTGGTGATGACCTCTTGACCCTGATGTACCAATGTAAGACTGAAATAATTGTATTTCTTTAATTTTCAGATATACATTTTGTGCTTTTCTCGCAGATGCAGCTGATTTGCAGCTTTGTTGTATTGAGAGTTTTTTTTGTCGTCGAGGGCTCAGACCAGTTCTGTGGTGTTTCCGTTTTTGTTGTTGCTTTCTTTTGGCAGGGTCGATGTGGTATTCCACTGTTGCAGTCACGTTTGTACCAAGCTATATATCGACAGAGTGGTGGTCCATATTCAGCCCGACTCTGTTAGTCTGTTACTGGTCTTTGTGGAAATTGGAGATTTTTATGTGTACACAACTTGAGAGTTTGTAAGATTATTTGTATTGAAAGGTGTTATTTGTTGGTCTGTGCAGTTTTGAATGTCTGTTCTATTTTATTATGATCATATAGGCTGTGATGTTCGTGCAATTAATAAACTCGGTTCTCAGTTGCTTGGGGCTAATGGTCGTGATGATGGTGTATTTGTGAGTTTATTGTCATTAAGTATTATAACTACTATGAATTTTCTGCAGTTGTCTTATTTAACGTGTATTTTAAATTTAGATATTTATGTTGGGGAGCTATTTAGTCTAATCATTTTAGAGTGTTAAATTAAGTTAAGTTTTGTCTATTTTGTTAGATCACTTCAAAAATAAAAGAAGGAATTAACAAGATTTCTTTGATAAGCTGTGACACTCACGTTTTCTGTTTTGGGGTCCGCATTATTAAAATGCGCAGCGTGCAATAGGTAGGCTTATGTCTTCCTTAACTTTTAACTTTATTAAGATGAATGTCTTTTGGTTTCATTAATCCAGGCTTATCTGAATAGTCAAGACATTCAACAAAGCAACTGCCTTAGAATGATTTTACTTTAAAAAATTATGTTGAATGATCTGCTACTGAAGTTTGGTTTCTTTAATTAATACCATTTTTAGTTTTCTGTTTTAGAGAAGCGGATGAATCTCGATTACGAGCAGTCTTCTACTGAAGTTATGTCCATCATTAATTTAGAGTTTGTACAATGATGTATTTGCCTGCTACTGCAGAAATATAGTGCAGAAATATCAACAGACTGGATTTTTGTGGGAGCACTACAATCAGATTTAAGGAAATGGAAAAGGTGCTCATCCATTAACAGGTTGGACATCACTTGTTGTGTTATTTATTAAGATTTTCACGATACATATTGTTTCCTGTAGGTTGTTATCCTTTACAATCTTCTTATACATGCTTTATTTATTGGCAATGCGAAATATGGTTTGAAACTGAATATGACAGATAATGGGAGCAAGAGATTGTGCAATTGTCATTGAATCTGATGAGGAGACTGATGGAAAATTTTCCTGCATGGTTGAAGTAAACGCATGTAATTAGCATAACTATAACAAGACTTCCTTTTAGTTCCTTAATGCACACACATACACAAACATGGTGTGAATTTCATAATGTATAGATCGTATAGTGACTGTTTTTTATGTGAAGTTACTTTACTATCACGTTAGCCACTAACCCCTATATGAGGAGAAGGAAAAAAAAGAGATCGGTGATTTTCAAACATACTCAATAGTATCGCTGAAAAATATAGTTTTCATCTTTTGATTTTCTTTTTCAAAAAAATTGGATTGCTACCATAGTCACCGATGAACAATAGCAGTATAAGGGATTAATAGATGCAGATTTGGGTTATGAAAAAAAAATAGTTATTTAGTATTATTATGACACCAGTAGTAGCAATAGCAGTATAAGGGATGAATAGATGCAGTTTTGGGTTATGAAAAAAAATAGTTATTTAGTATTATTATGACACCAGTAGTAGCAAACAGGAAAGGAAACAATAAACCAAAAATTACAACTGAGGCAATTCGCGTCAGCCAAATGGAGGGGACTAAGTTGGTTGCAAAAGATGGACATGTAGCATTGAGGAAGAGTGCAAGGAAGATACTCCCTAACCAAATGATGGTTGATTTTGCCTGTAAAGGGCATAATAAAAAGAGTACAATATTTCGTATCGATGAATCATGAATAATTTTTCGGATTAGTGATTGTTTTGTATTTATTTCTGCAACAGTTTGTTGGAGCTTGAATGGGAACTTTGAATCTTAAGATTCCTTCAAAAAACTCTACTGACAATCAAGAGACCCTTCCTTCTAGGGCATGTTGTGTTATCGTCGAGTTTCTCACTGGTGGAACGCTGAAACAATACTTGATAAAAACAAGCGGAAGAAACTTGCGTATAAGATTGTGGTTCAGCTTGCTTTGGACCTCTCCAGAGGGTAGGTCCTTTTTTTCTATCCCTACATTTAGAAATTGCAAATTCAATACTGATACATACAGAATGCTAATTTATTTTCCCTAATATGCAGTCTTAGCTATCTGCATTCGAAGAAGATTGTTCATCGTGATGTTAAGTCGGAGATTATGTTTCTAGATGGTAACCGGAATCTAAAGATAGTTGATTTTGGAGTTGCTCACGTTGAAGTTATGAATCCAAGTGACATGACTAGTGAAACTGGAACCCTCGAATATATGGCTCCCAAGGTATTGATACTCACATGGTGTACATATGTTAATAGTTGCAACTTCCAAATTACTCACATGGTTTAATAGATGGGAACTTGAAGTTGTTAGTTTGAAATATTAATCTATGCTTTACACAATGTGTAGGTTTTGGATGGTAAACATTACAATAGGACATGTGATGTCTATAGCTTTGGCATTTTCTTGTGGGAAATTTATTGCTGTGATATGCCTTTTTGCCAAGCAATTAGATATTTTTAAATGTCAATTTGATTAAGCCTTATAAAATAAATTCTTAATTTAACTTCAATACTTTTTTCTACATACCAACTTTAAATTCATCATCATATGACTTTGATGAACTTTAAAGGGATAGGATATTGACATTTAACTTATCCCGTTCAAATTGCTGAAATTTACATTTTCTAAAAAAAAAAAATATAAGTATTGATAACAGAAGAATATTCTAGAATAATTACTATACTCTAACAGAATATATGTCTTGAGACAAAACACAAGTTCTGTTAATAGAAGTGACTAAAACACAACAGAATGAAAAAAGAGTAACACCAATCCTAAGACACAATAGTTATTGCACAAAATTACCTAATATTATGAATACCATCATAAACAATTTCAAGAGGCCATTTTACTAGCAACCGATTCTTCAATGTGATTTGTTTTGTTTCTTTCCATTGGAATTGATAATTAAATAACCATAAAACATGTGTAGATGTAGTATAAGGTAGGCATGATCATGATTCTGATTTATTAGTGAATACTAATTTATAATTGAAACTTAGATGTATAGTATAAGGTAGGCATGATCATGACAAGGGAACTATTACACAGGAATTGATGAAGGAGTTGTGAATTTGATTAAAGATGGTGATCGGAGGTATTTATGTTATGGTAGTGAGCCACTCAACAAATGACTACTTGATTATAGAAATTATTTTCGAAGTTACGTGGTTTAGAAATCATTATAAGTATGTCATTAAATATAATGATGCAGCCCATATAGAAATTATTTTACAAATTTTGTTGATTGTCCTTACTTATGCTCTTCTACACTCCTAAAGTTCTTCAATTTTGTTCACCACCTCTATTCTTTCACATGTGCACTTATTTTCTTTTACATATGCTTGTCCTAATAAATAAAAGATAGTTTAATGTTACTCATATTTTATGATTATTTTAAAACAAAATAATTTATATAATTTGTTCTATGAAAAATTATATATTTAAATGACTCATTCATATTTACAGGTACATATAATACTATATATACTATATTTATTACATTATTTTTAAATGCTTAAAATAAATTTACCCCTGCTTAAAATAATTTGATTTCGTTGGATTTATGAGAAAAAGTCCCATAGAAGCATGTTATGTTAATTGTCACTTTATAAATAGCCTTTTCTAACTCCATAGTTATTCATTATTAATATTTATTATATTTTAAAAATAATAAACTGTGTTTTGGTTAAACAATTTTGTTTTTCTTTTTTCTTTTATTATTATTATATCAATCACATTTTTTATTAAATCAATCATATTTTTTTGATATTAAATCAATAACATTTGTTTAACTAAATCAATTACTATATCTTTTCTAAAATTTATGATTGTTTACTTATATTAATACTATCGATTATCAGTTGTCAACAAGTTATATTTGAGAATGATAAATATGTTTTTTTAAACATAGAGATCCAAACATCATTTCAATAATTTAATTTTAACGATAACATGAATTTACTGATCAAAATATTAAATTTTAACGGGAACATGAATTTACTGATTAAAATATTAAATATTAACAGAAATATGAAGTTACTGATTAAAATATTAAATATTAACGGAAATATGAAGTTACTGATCAAAATATTAAATATTAACGGAAACTTGAAATTACTGATAAAATATTCAATATTAACGGAAACATGAAATTAGTGATCAAAATATTGAATATTAATAGGAATATGAAGTTACTGATAAAAATATTGAATATTAATGAAAATATGAAGTTACTGATAAAAATATTAAATATTAACAGGAACATAAAGATCAAAATATTTAATATTAACGGGAATATAAAGTTACTGATCAAAATATTAAATGTTAACGGAAACATGAAGTTGCTGATCAAAATATTGAGAACTTGAAATTACTGACCAAAATATTGAATATTAACGGGAACATGAAGTTACTGACCAAAATATTGAATATTAACGAGAACATAAAGTTACTGATAAAATATTGAATATTAACGAGAACATAAAGTTACTGATAAAATATTGAATATTAACGAGAAAATGAAGTTACTGATAAAAATATTGAATATTAACGGGAATATAAAGTTATGATCAAAATATATAATATTAATGGGAACATGAAGTTACAGATCAAAATATTGAATATTAACGAGAATATGAAATTTCTGATCAAAATATTGAATATTAACGAGAACATGAAGTTACTGATCAAAATATTAAATATTAATGAAAATATTAAGTTATTGATCAAAATATTGAATATTAACGGAAATATGAAATTACTGATTAAATTATTGAGTATTAACGGGAATACGAAATTATTAATCAAAATATTGAATGTTAATAGAACAACTTTACTATTGATTTAAATATTTTTTACAACAATTCTAAAACAAAAATAATATTTATATAAAAAATATATATTATTTATTCAAATATTTTTATATATTAGAAGAATTATAGAGACTGACTTTTTTTTTTTTTAAATTATATTTTATATTTTGAAAATAAATGTATATATCGTACCGATATCTGTGTGAACGCACAGATATCTCACTAGTTAATACTAGTTAATACGTAAGAAAAAAAATTATATCAAAAAACCTAATAGCTTTATCACTAAATAACAACATACTTCACACATCTCAAACAAAATAAATTACTCAAAATGCATTTAAAAACAAAAAAAAAATTATAGTATAATAAATTTGTGTAAATGATAAATTATTTGTTATATTGAAAAACTAAATTACATAGTTTTGATGAAAATCAAATAACGAAATGCAGATAACAATTCAACTGCATAAGCTCTAACCACATGTAGTTTGATGTTATAAATTTGTATAAATCAATAATATAATAATTAATTGAAAGCGACAACCAAATTTCTTTCTACAACTTTATATTATTGATATTTTTTGTAATAGGTTAGCAACATAGTTTTACTAAAAACAATTTGTGGTGTAAAATTGAAGTCAATACAATCAAAAAAGAATCATACAAGTTAATTATATAAACTAAGTCACTAACTATTTGACATAAGACTCTAATTTTATTGTTTGAATAGTACTAAGGGATATGGAGAGTGAGGTTAGCAATAAAATTCTGACCCTCTTTATATGTGATTCTTACGGTCTCAAAATTGATTTTTTATTTTCTCCTCTAGGAATCGATGTCTCAATTTTCTTGTTAAAATATCAATATTTAAAAATAATATGATATAAATAAATTGTATCAATAAGACTTTGTTTAGTATGAGATATTACAATTGAGGACACATGTTAAACATTGATCATCCTAACTTTGGAGCATTAAGAACTATATCTAATTTGTGTAATGGTTGGCAATATATTGAAAACTAATATAATAATATATCATGATTAAGCACTTTAGTCATACACATGCATATAAATATTATCATATAATTATCAAAATCAGAAAAAATCATATCACTAAAATTATATCTTTATATAATTAATTTGTTTTACAATCTTTCAGGAATGTTTGATAAATTTTTCATGAACTATATAAATAATTTGTTTTGTTATTCTTCAGGGGTGTTGGATAAGTTTTTGAGGAACTATATAAATAATTTGTTATAAACATTTATCTAAAAATATAACCGTCCTTTCGGGATGCGTTAAAATTATCTCACATAGAAACATAGAAAAAGGGAGAAAAGAGGAAGAACACCAAAGGGAAGAATCCATCAAAAAATCAAGGTAAGAGTAAGTTTTTACATCGTTATGGGAATTGTATAATGGTATGTAATGAGTAAATATATGCTAGGATGTAAATCTCAATTTCTTAGGTTTTGACATTGTTAGGTTTGAATGAGGAATCCTTGAATGTGATGATAGATTGTGTTGTGATGTTTTTGGTTGATAGATATATGTTAGATGTATGTTATAATGCTACAAATCATAACAATTGGATGTTAAAAAATGTGTTTTAGGGATCAAAATCGCACATGGAACAATGTTATCATCGCAGGTATTTTTCTGCAAATCGCATAGGACACTTAACATCGTATATCGCACTTAGCATGAGTCGCGTCAGTGATTTTGGCGCTTAGCGCCTGTGAGCTCTCCTAGCGTGGACGCCTAGGAGTTGAAATATTTTTATTTTCTTAAATTGCCTTGGGATTATATATACTTATATTTTATGCTAATTTATACTTAATTTTTAGGGATTTAAAACTACATGTTGGATGTTTTTGAAGGCCTAGTTGATCAGACATGAAACCTTGTTTATATGTTTTGATGTGTGTGTATGTGATTGTTGTTGGATTATAATGA